CCGCCGAGCAGGGAGCCCGATGTGGGGCTCAATCCCAGGACCCTGGGATCATGACCTGAGCCGAAGGCAGATGCTTAACGACTGAGCCCCCCAGGCGCCCCAGGACTCAAAATTTTTCTTTCTTTCTTTTTTTTTTTAAAGATTATTTATTTGACAGAGAGAGACAGCAAGAGAGGGAACACAAGCAGGGGGAATGGGAGAGGGAGAAGCAGGCTTCCCGCCGAGCAGGGAGCCCGACGCGGGGCTCAATCCCAGGACCCTGGGATCATGACCTAAGCCGAAGGGAGATGCTTAACAACTGAGCCACTCAGGCACCCCAACAGGATAAACATTTTAAAGGACATTGATGTATATAAGCAAATGCTTTCCAGGGTGGTTGTTCCCAATACATAATGTCACCACACTGAATCATTGGAAAACATTTACCTTCCATGTCAGGATGCAAAGTTGAGTAGAGCACAGCCTGAGTTCCACACAACCTCCCTGTACTAGATACTATAATTTTCACCTCTGTTTGCTAATTAAATAGGCACGACTCTGGCTGGTATTGAATTTGACTGTCTGATTACTCAGGAAACTTGTATTTCTCTGTGTTGGTTTTAACGAAAACTACCTCTCACATCCTCTGCCCTATCACTCACTGCTAATGGCCCCGATTCTTTCTCATTGGGTTGCTTGTTAAGAACCCGTGCTCTGGGGGTCCCTTCCTCCTCCATGGATGTCCCTTCAGCCACGGGCACCCCCAAGGGATTGTGGCCTTGAAGGGAGCCCTGAAGCCCTGGGTGGGAGGGCTACGGGGTGGGGAGGTGTGGTGGGGCAGTGCAGTCTGAAGAAGCATATTTAATGGAAATACCTGGAAAAAAATATGCTGGTGGTTTTCATTGTGCAAAACTAGAGAACACACGGTTTGACAAGTTTTCTTGGCTGTTTGGTTTTGGCTGAAGAGGGCTGGCACCATCCATGGTGACACGCACGGGAGCCAAGCGTCAAGCTCATCTAAGGTTGGGAGGGAGTGCAGGCGAAGGGACTCGTTGCTTCTCAGTTGGACAGTCTGGGTGTCTAGTGGGTTAACTCCTGCTGCTACCCTCTTGCCTCCTCAGCTTACAGGATCAAAAACCTGAGTTGTCAGCCTGCTGATGACAGAGGGTCTTTGGGAGCAATGTCATCTCAGACCACAGGCTGATTGTTAATAATTGTTAATAGCTGTGGGCAGTTACCAGTCAGGAGATGAACTGCTGGCGTCAGAAGATCAGACAGCTGAGGACTCTGGCCTGTTAGGGGAGGCTTGAGTCAGCACCTCCAGGTAAACTACAGAACAGCTTACCCCAAAGGTAAAGGTCATGCTCACAGTGTGCATGTGTGGTACCCATGCCCACATCTTTGTGGCTGGCCCGATACACACCCTGAGGCAGAGGGACCCAGGCAGAGCATCAGACCTGAGCCAGAGGTCAGAGCGGGATCTGGGTCCTCCCACCCCTGTCCTCAAGGGCTGGGCCCATCTTCAGGTGCTCCCTGGGGTTAGTGTCTTCTAGGCTGTCCTGGAGTCCCTGCTGGAGGGGCTGTGTGGCCTTTCATGCTGAGGAGGGAGTGAGTCCTTGCTCAGTGTCGGGTGTACCCTGCCCTGCCCAGCCTGTTTCCTGCATGGGTTATGTACTGTGGGCTGAGCTTCTCCAAGATCCCTTGGGGCTGGGGAGCATTTCTGTCTTCTTGCGGCAGGTGAGCAGCTCCCCTGGCCTGTTGCTCTCTGTGTGGCCCCCTGCCTCGCATGATTGCTGCACCTGTTCACAGTTGTACTAACTTCCAACACACAGACTACCCAGAACTGAGTGCTGGGCTGGTCTTCTTGTAGATTTCATTTCATTTTCGAGGCAGCCCTGTGGTGTGAATGGTGATACTCTCATCTACAGATCAGAAGCTGAGGCTGAGGAAGGGAGGTGATTGGACTGAGGTCACGGAGCAGTTGGAGGTGGGCCTGGGACCTGACCCACTTTTAACCACTTTTGCAGAAAGGATTAACCTGACCCCAGGGGAGGGATGGCCTTTGTCCTACTTCTGGGTGGCTGGAGTGTCCTGCCTGAGAGTCTTTGTTTACTCAGAGCCAGAGCCAGGGACTGTACAGGAACAGTATGGTGTATGGGAGGGGCTTTGGCCATGTGGCACCTACTCAAACCTCTGGAGAGGCTGCAGACTCAGGTGTCATGCAGGTGGCCATCTATATGTGTCACCAAGCCCAAAAAAACCTCTGGATACTAAAGCTCGGGTGAGCTTCCCTTGTGGGCAATACTCCATGCACACTGTCACACATCAGAGCCAGGAAAGTAATGTCCATGACTTTACAGAGACCCCGCATTTGGTACTTTTCTGGATTCTGCCTGCATGAAATCCCTGGTCTGATTTTATCTGTGTCTGTTCCCTGTAATACACTGTAACCGTGTGTGTATCAGGTTTCTAGGCGAGTTCTATGAGTCCTTGTAGCAAATTACTGAACTTCAGGGTGATCTTGGGAATCCCCAAATTTGTCACTGGTGTCAGAGGGGAGGGCGGTCTTGGGGACCCCTATACTTCACCTGCATTTCTCAGCTCAGGAACTTTTATTCTCCAAACTCACCCAGATGGGGCAGAGTAGTGCTGCTCCCACCCCCAACCCAGGATTTTCCTCAGCCCTGGAGCAAGCCCGTCTCCCACGAAAGATCCTCCTGGGCTTTCACCACCAGACCCTCTGCACAGAGTGGCTTTTGATGGCCTGAGCTTCCCCAGCCTGTCCCCTAGGAATGGTCCTGCCTCCCTCAGGGCCATCTCTGGACTGCATGGCACCTGCCAAGCTGGGTCCTGCTGTGCAGGTATCTTTCTCCAGAGAAGTGATGGGTCCTGACATGCCCTATACTTGACACAGGTGGACTGTATTGATATCACCAGCAAGGCGTGAGAACACCCGTGCCCCTACACCTTCATAGCTCTGTGTGTTACAGGATACCCTTTACTAATTGATCAGGAGGTGGTATGTTTTTATTTGAAACTGGCACACTTGGCCTTTTCCACGCTCTCCTCACTGTACGTCCCTTTATTGGGAACTGTCAGCTCATGTCCTCTGGTTGCTGATTTGTAGTAGGTCCTTATACCAAAGTCATTCATCTCCCTTCACCCACAAATAGGTGTTCCAGTCATTCCTTTTTTATTGGAAAATGTCAGGTTATACATAGTACACAGAAATAAAATTCTGGGTGTTTTCTAAATTATAGAAAAATTGAGAACTAAGTGTCAAATTCTTGGTAGCAGTAAGGAAAAATAGGATAAAGATTTAAATGCATAAAATGTAAAGACATCTAAATAAAAATTAAAAAATCCAAAATAAGTGTGGTATGTTGCTGATCAGTCAGAGATGGGCAGTTAATGGCTGAGAAAGCTATTAACAGGGTGAAGGGACCCCGAAGGTCATTTTGGTGCCTGATGCCACTTCCCAAAAACAAAGACTGCCCATATGTTCCAGCAGGTTCTGTGCTACCTCCTGGTCCTTGGAGAGGTAGGTGACAAACATGCACGGCCCAGGGATCCTCCCCAGGGAGAAGGGCACTGAAGCTCACCTTCCAGCTCCATGGACACCTGAGCCTGTACACACACCAATGGGTCAATGGCAGCTGACAGGAAGAAAAGGCAGAATGATATTAAGTACACTTCATTTAAGAAGGTTGAAAAGTGAACTATACATTTTGCAGATTTCCCCGAAAACCCTAGATTTGGTGGATTTACCAATCCAGAATGACTTGTACTGTATCACTTACGTTGTCCTGTGATACAGTGTCTTTCCAAACAAGTATTTCTGTACATTGTATTTAACTGAACTCTTATTCTCCTCTTGACTAGAACATGACTGTTTCTAACTCTTCCACAGGGTTAGGAACTGTGCCCTGAATAGCGGTGGGCTCTGAGGGCAGTCACTGAGTCAGACGGCAGCTACACTCAACCAGCGAGGGCTGCTGGCTTTCCTCTGTGGGGACTTTCGAGCTAGCATCTCACTGGGGTCAGCTGCTCTCTGCAGTTAACGCTTCTGTTGATCTGCAGTCTGGCTCTAGTGATTTCAGCTACCGTCTGCAGGAACATGGAGGGATTTCAGCTCCTCTGAATCGCACCATGAGCTTGGCTTCTCCAGCATCTCCTCCGAGGTTCCAGCCATCTCCGAAGGACTACCTCAGCGAGTGCGCCTCCTCTCTAGCACCTACCTTAGTGATCCCAAGTCCTGTTTTTGCTTCAATTGCCTTAGCCCCTGTTGTCCCAGCTGCTCTGCAGTACACATCAGTGATGTCAGTTCCTTTCAGGAGCCCATCTCCTCTCTGCAGTACACCTGCTACCTCAGCTTCCAGAGTTTCACCTGTGAGGCTGGCTCCTCTCACCTGTACCACAGAGAGGGGGAAAACAAGCTTTTATCTGCATCAGGGTATTGCTGTGGACTTATGGGTCAACACTATAGTCCTTCATTTCTCCCAAGAAGCTGATGTTTTCGAGAGGAAAAAAACCTCTTAAAAATTATGAATAAACCAGATTCACTACAGTACATGAAAATGGATACTAGACGCTCTTGCGATCAGGAGTAAAAAATAAAAACCTCAAACACAGAAATGGAAATTTTAGATAATAAAAAAGCTATTTGAATTTGAGAATTTTAGGTTTTAAAACTATCTACCAAAGAACTGTCTTTTGAGTAACACAGCAGCTATGAGGTCTGGGCTCTGCGTGCAGAGCTCCCCTCCAACCCACATGGGGTCTGGAGGCCCAAGGCATCCCATGATTTCTGGGGCACAAGGTCTCTTAAGTCATAAGGGTGGGTTTTGAGGCAAAGATCCATTTTTTTTTTAAAGATTTTATTTATTTATTTGAGACAGAGAGAATGAGATACAGAGAGCATGAGAGGGAGGAGGGTCAGAGGGAGAAGCAGACTCCCTGCCGAGCAGGGAGCCCGATGCGGGACTCGATCCCGGAACTCCAGGATCATGACCTGAGCCGAAGGCAGTCGCTTAACCAACTGAGCCACCCAGGCGCCCGCAAAGATCCATTTTTGAGTTGAATTTTCACTTAAAAAGGTAAGACATCCCTTCTGATCTTGAATAAAGTTCAAACACCAGATGAAGTGTTTTCTAAGTTTACATCATTGCTCACTAATCCTTTGACCTTTTCCTTTGTTCACGCAAAACAAGTGGCTCCACACGCTCAGGATTTCTAGCCATATTACTTGATAACCATCTTTTCTTATGTCATTTTATCCACACAACACTGCAGTGGTCTAACAGAATACTGCAAATAATCCAATTCAAGTTTATGTGCAATAATTGGAATAACTGTTTTTAGGAAAGGCATGGCACGTTCTAAGAAAAACCTTCATTTAGAATGTAAGAAATCCTTAAGTCTTAACTTCCTTCAAACACGGTCTCACGTTAAGGAAGAATGAAACCCACTACGACTGTGCGATTGCTGTGCAGCCGAACTTCAGGACGTGGCGCTGAACAGAACGGGCGTCCTCTGGTTCTTCCACGGGAACGTGTGCTCGGGACACCGAACCGCCGAAGACCCGCACCCGGCCGAGCGGCCAGAAGCTTCTCAGGGCGGCGGCTCCCGGCGCCGGCGGGCGTCACAGCTTCCGGTGCACCTTCTGGTGCTGGATCAGGTGCCCGTGCTGGTTGAAGGCGCGGCCGCACTCGCCGCACTCGTAGGGCCGCTCGCCCGTGTGGATCCTCTGGTGCTGGATGAGCACCGAGTACTGGCTGAAGGCCTTGCCGCAGCGGCTGCACTCGTAGGGCCGCTCGCCGGTGTGCGTCCGCAGGTGCACGATCAGGGTCGCCTTCAGGCTGAAGGCCTTGCCGCACTGCGCGCAGCGGAACGGCCTCTCGCCGGTGTGGATCCTCTCGTGCTGCACCAGGGACCGGCGGGCGCTGAAGGCGTGCCCGCACTCGCCGCACACGTACGGCTTCTCGCCGGTGTGCACGCGCTGGTGCTGCGTCAGGTGCGAGTGCTGCACGAAGGCCTTGCCGCACGCGTAGCAGCCGTACGGCTTCTCCTCCGTGTGGATGCGCTCGTGGTTCATGAGCGTCGAGCGGTGGCTGAAGGCCTTGCCGCACTCGCCGCACTCGTACGGCTTCTCGCCGGTGTGCACGTTGTGGTGCTGGATGAGCACCGAGCGGTCGCTGAAGGCGCGGCCGCACTCGCTGCACGTGTAGGGCTTCTCGCCCGTGTGCACGCGCTGGTGCTGCAGGAGCGTCCTCTTGACGCTGAAGGCGCGGCCGCACTGCGCGCACTCGTGCGGCTTCTCGCCGGTGTGCACGCGCTGGTGGCTGCGCAGGACCGTGCTGTGGTTGAAGGCCTTGCCGCACAGCGGGCACACGTACGGCCGCTCGCCGGTGTGGATCCGCTGGTGCTGGATGAGGTGCGAGAGCTGCGTGAACGCCTTCCGGCACTCCAGGCACTCGTGGGGCTTCTCGCCCGTGTGGATCTTATGGTGCTGAGCGAGATCCGAGCTCACCCGAAAGGCTTTTCCGCATTCGTTGCACTCGTAGGGCTTCTCGCCCGTGTGGATCCTCCGGTGTTTGCTGAGGACGGAGCTCTGGCTGAAGGCCTTCCCACAGACGCCGCACACGTAGGGCTTCTCTCCGGTGTGGGTTCTCTGATGCTGCAGCAGATGGGAGCTCCGGCCAAAGCACTTCCCACAGTCGGTGCACTTGTAGGGTCTCTCGCCACTGGGAACAGCCTGATGCTGAGGGAGAGGCACGCTCTGACTCAGGACCTGAGCTGCGGGCCGGCCGGCGGGGCTTGCACTCACACAGAAGCTCTGCTCACGTTCGTAACGTCCTTGATCAATCCATCCCGTGGAGGTTTCCCCCAGAAGCACTGATACTTCCTCTGAAGTGAACGGCTTCAGGCTCAAATCCCTATTTTGGCTCTCTCCCTTGTTTTCATACTCTGAAACAACAAACCCAAAGTAAAAATGTTAACTGCTAACCCGCTCAGAACGGCAGAGCAAGTGTAACCAGAGGTGGCCAGCAGGGCCGCGGTCCCTGAACGCACATGGCCGTGTGAGCTGCGGAGGAGCAGAAAACTCGCATCTGTGTCCAGTAACTAGACACGTGCCCAGGCTGACAGGGCAGTTTGGGAGGCAGGTGTCACGGACATAAGGCACACAGCAGCTGGTGGCAGCCCGGTACTGCCCGAATCCCACTCCCCCTGGAGTCTTTGTTTCTTAAAATTTTATTTATTTGAGAGAACTAGCAGGGAGAGGGAGAGGCAGACTCCCCACTGAGCAGGGAGCCTGATGCGGGGCTCGATCCCAGGACCCCGGGATCAGGACCTGAGCCGAAGGCAGACGCTTCATGACTGAGCCACGTAGGCGTCCCTCCCTGGAGTCTTTATGTACAGGGCTTCCAGAGGCCATCATCTAACCCTAAACCCACCCAGGACTGCAGAGAGCCTTGTTGGGCTGACAGCAACACCTAGTGTGGAGCTGGTAGAAGTGTGAGCTCTGGTGGGCATGTCCAACAGACACAGGAAGAGAAGACTTGTACATGGGGGAGTGTGACCTCCTCTTTGTGGAGAATGCACTGGGAAGAGGAGAGACACAATGGGAGTCTTACCACATCTAAGCTGGAATGTGGCCTGCAGTGGGCAGCAGGAAGTATTGCAGAGGGCTGGGGTAGATGTTTTTAGTATCAGGTTGTGGACTCTGGGCTCTGAGTGGGGGAGGACAGGGTGTGTTGATT